GAAATGATCTGAAGATGTCTTAATTAAAAATATCCAAAGCAGTTCAGGCATCAGAACCGGGGTTCATTTACAGCAGGCAGCACCTTTCCTGTCGGCCTGCAGGCTTATAGAGCGGTCCAAGTCATGCTGCATGCCGGCTGCTGCTGTACACAAACCTCAGTGACTGTTAGACGAGCTGATTAGAAAGTGTTTACTTTGACATCATAGATGCACAATCAGAAAAGTTTCATCTCCTTAGAACGGCTAATATATCAGTGACATCATGATCTCATAGCGTGCTGTGCAGGTTTACCTGAAATGAACTGGGATTGATGGCTGTGTTTTCTGCTCTGCAGCCGTGTGCCTTACCTGCTAACTTCATCCACGGACTCAAACTTCAGCCATGCTACACTGAGTCCAAAATCGATCAAATCCAGACACACATGGATCATTTGGAAAATAGAATGGAAGTAGCTGGAAAGTGTTCGGAGCTGGTAAGTCAATCTGACCAAAGACATGTTCCTGTGATGTTTCATCCAACAGGCGGACGGTAAACACTGACTGCTTCTCTCCCTCAGATGGAAATCTATTGCTCAAAGAGCGCAAACTCTGGTCCCATCGCTTCCCTGGATGTCTTCCAAGCCAAGATGAAAGTCGTGCTGGAGCAGTACATGGCTAAGTTATTAAGCTAAGGAACCGGACCAGTCTGGACCCGTAATCCAGAGAGGAAGCACACCTGGAGCTTCTCCATCCTGCTAATCTTTAAAAATGTGGACGCTTGCTGCAGGGCCTCTATATGTTTTATTATATCAGTGAAAGACACTTAAGAAGGTTTTGTTTTGATTTTTTTCCCCTCCTGGACACTTTTAAAATGATCTTTCAGACTAACAGTTAAAATCCTTTTTCTATCTGGTTCTAACCATCAGTCCAGTTTCCCCATTATTCATTCAGTCAGAACCAATTTGGACGGAAAGGTTCTGATCCAACAACTAATCTCAGAATCGGTCTAAAATTGATCAGTGCTCTATTCTACTAAACCAGGATTGTGTTGCTTCAAAAAGCTAAAGTTTGTCAAACACTATGTGTCTATAAAACAGTACAAATGTAACATGGAATTAATGAAGTTGATTATGATTTATTTTATGATTTAAGTTTACTTATTATTTATATTATTTATGATTAATTTATCAGCTCAGTGTAGAATCATATTGACTTGTTTACCTTTGTTTGGTTTTGTTTATTTATATTTGTTAAACATGTATGATTTAATCATGTGTCTGAATGTCAACATCATGTTTTGAGACAAAGATCCCATTCTATGTCAGATTTAACAGTAAGGACTATTTAATCCTAATCCTCTTTAAATATCTTTTTTATTGTCTTGTTTTTGAAAAGTGCTTGTTTTTTTAAGATGAATAAATAAAGTGATCTTTTTATCAACATATCCTGTTTTGTTGGTTTATTTCTGCTTGAATCCATATAGCTGGCAGTAAGTTTAAACTATAATGAAAATGAACCTTATTTAACACAATTCTAACAGTTCGAAAGTTTTGAGATTTTTCAATTTATTATAATCATATATCTACATTTTTACTGATTTACATGTCTAGCTGCATGTCGTCATTCAACCGCTGGTTGTCTAGGTGGTGTCCTGAAAACAACGTGGGCTACATTAATAATTGGCAATCCTTTTGGGGAAAGCCTGGTCTGATTCGGAGAGACGGCATCCATCCCACTTTGGATGGTGCAGCTCTTCTTTCTAGGAATCTGGCCACATTTATTAGTCCTCCAAAACCCTGACCACCCAGGGTGCAGACCAGGAAGCAGAGTTGTAGTTTAACACACATCTCTGCAGCTTCTCTACTGTTACCCACTCTTTACTCATTAACATCTGAAGTCATTAACATCTGGAGTCATTAACATCAGGAGTCATTAACATCTGGAGTCATTAACTTCTGGAGTAATTAACATCAGGAATCATTAACATCTGGAGTCATTAACATCTGGAGTAATTAACATCAGGAATCATTAACATCTGGAGTCATTAACATCTGGAGTCATTAACATCTGGAGTCATTAACATCTGAAGTCATTAACATCTGGAGTAATTAACATCTGGAGTCATTAACATCTGAAGTCAATAACATCTGGAGTCAATAACATGTGGAGTCCTGCGCATATGGAGTCTTTAACATCTACAGTTGCTAACATCTGGAGTCATTAACATCTGGCGTTATTACACTTCTGGAGTCATTAACATCTGGAGTCATTAACATCTGGAGTCATTAACATCTGGCGTTATTACACTTCTGGAGTCATTAACATCTGGAGTCATTAACATTTGCCGTCATTACACTTCTGGAGGCATTAACAGCTGGAGTAATTAACATCTAGAGTCATTAACATGTGGAGTCCTGCACATATGGAGTCTTTAACATATACATTTGTTAACATCTGGAGTCATTAAAATCTGGCGTAATTACACTTCTGAAGTCATTAACATCTGGCGTTATTACACTTCTGGTGTCATTAACATCTGGCGTTATTACACTTCTGGAGTCATTAACATCTGGAGTCATTAACATCTGGCATAATTACACTTCTGGGGTCATTAACATTTGCCGTCATTACACTTCTGGAGGCATTAACAGCTGGAGTAATTAACATCTAGAGTCATTAACATGTGGAGTCCTGTGCATATGGAGTCTTTAACATCTACAGTTGTTAACATCTGGAGTCGTTAACATCTGGCGTAATTACACTTCTGAAGTCATTAACATCTGGTGTTATTACACTTCTGGAGTCATTAACATCTGGCGTAATTACACTTCTGGAGTCATTAACATCTGGCGTAATTACACTTCTGGAGTCATTAACATCTGGCGTAATTACACTTCTGGAGTCATTAACATCTGGCGTTATTACACTTCTGGAGTCATTAACATCTGGCGTAATTACACTTCTGGAGTCATTAACATCTGGCGTTATTACACTTCTGGAGTCATTAACATCTGGCGTTATTACACTTCTGGAGTCATTAACATCTGGCGTAATTACACTTCTGGAGTCATTAACATCTGGCGTAATTACACTTCTAGAGTCATTAACATCTGGTGTTATTTTTTTTTTTTTTTTTTTACAGTGTCCTGTCTGGCAAGGTGGCAATAAGAATAATTGTCTTGATGCCAAAAGGACCCCAACAGACTTTAATTTCACAAGTGTAGCGGTATCGCAATTGCCATGCTGCTCCACTTGTATCATGTATATAAATTGCTTTATTATAATTATGCAGGGAGTTTTACAGTTTATATGGACACTGCAATGTAAGTAGAGCAGAAAAACAGAAGAAGAAGAAGGAAAAGAAAAAGAAAAAAACAGGACAAAAGATGAAAGAACGAGGAGATAGGAAGGAGACAATGACAAAACATTTTCAGTCTCCTTCAACACCTGTAATGAGATGGGGAAAAAAAAAAAAAAAAAAAGAACAGCACAACCAAAAGACATGGTACGAGATATACAATAAAGCAAACACCTTGAAACTATCGCTTAAGTAATATTATTAAGTCTGACATGTACTCTGTGTTACCTGAAGATATGAATGTGGGGTTTCTGTTTGGAAGTGAATCTCAAAGTACCTGAAGCCTAGCACCTGTAGTTGTTTGTGAGGGTGAACTGGAGTCATGACTCCATCTGGCGTTATTATGCTTTTGGAGTCATTAACATCTGAAGGTATTGACATCTGGAGTTATTAATATTGGGACTCATTGACATCTATGGTGATTAACATTTAGAGTCATTAACATCTGGAGGCATAAACATACAGATTACACTTTACTGAAAGTCAACATCTCAAAAACCCAGAGTTGTGCAGCTGCGACAGAACCAGAAGCATCACTCTGCGCCAGTAGATAGAGTCCTTTAAATACTTGGGAACTGAGGTGGATTCACTCTTAACTTTCAATAATTGTACAGACCCCATTATTAAAAGGGTCCAGAGAGGTCTCCGCCTGCTGGGAAAACTGGGATTTTCACTGTTAGGAAAGAGATTTTACCTGGGGTCTAGAAATCATCACTAGAATCAGAACAACTTCTTGGTCACCTGCTCAGATCTGTTTGATGTTTGATTGAGACCTTATGAAGGAGGACTGATGATGGAGACCCTTCTAGGAAGAATATCTCTTACCAGTTTTTCATTTTATCCTAACAGCTATCCTAACTGTAGCAGATCTGTGTTCAATAATCAATACTATTCTTCTTAAGTCTGTCTCTAGGTGGACCTTTGTGTCCTGGTAGGTCCATCCTCCTTCCATGAGCAAATGTAGGGTTGATTAGAGCTCTCTGAGGTCCAGCACGTAGGACTCTTTCAAACTCCTCTCTCTCTGACCTGCTCATGCAGCCAGCATCACTTAGATCCAAGGGTGTCCTGCTCTGTAAAACAAACGCATCAACAAGCAGGTGAAATTGATCCAAAACAAAAATAGTATCATTAAATTAAAACATTGGATTCCATAAAATAAGACACATGAAATCCAAATAAAATGCTCTGATGTTTCAGGTGGTGATCTGACAAAGAGCTGACAGGACGGCTGCGATGTGAACATTAACCAGGGGGTGAAGGTCAGCTCAATGAAGGGACCACTGCTCAGAAGACCAGAGGACTTCAGGCCAGGTAGAAAGAGAAAAGAGGACATCTGATTGGAGGGTTAGAGTCCATCAGAGTTATTCATCTCTGTCACTTCAGAATGTTCTAAATAAATTAAAATCTGAATGTCACCAAATGCACCCCAAGCCTGCATTTGGTCAGAGCTTATTTCACAGTAATGATGAAAGCAGCGTGAGCCGAGAGCAGATTTGACCAGTCTCTGCTGCCCTCTGCTGGATTAATTCATGCTGACTCCTCATGATGGAGGAAGGGGAGAGAGAGAGAGAGAGAGAGAGAGAGAGAGAGAGAGAGAGAGAGAGAGAGAGAGAGAGAGAGAGAGAGAGAGAGAGAGAGAGAGAGATGTGAGTTCTTGTGTTGAGGAAGTAGCAGCTGAACCCAGCTGCAACAGTTAGACGGAGAGCTGACCGCCGCAGCATGCAGCCGCCACCCAGGAAGGTAAGCAGCCAGAGTCTGATGAAGGAGAACAGCTGCTAGAAACTCTCCTACTTTCACTCCTCTGATGTCTTCTCTGTGTCTTGGCTTCTGAACTCCAACTCTAAAGCTTTGCTATAATGATGAAGACTAAATGTTCCTCAATGCTCTCTGACTTTTCGGTCTTGGTGCCTAATTTCTCCAACTAGTTTACCATATCTTAATGAATGTATTTCTTATATTTGCTGTTTTGAGCTAAACTTTAACATTAAATTTTTTTACTGGTTTGAAAATAGGTTAATAGATTATAACAATGTCTATGTGATGGACCAATTCATTAACTACAGCTTCACTCCTTTTATTTTTGGACAGACTGAGGCAGGAAATGTTGTGGTTTGGACCCTGGGGGGCCTGAAGCCAGAAAGCCTTTAAATAATCAATCAGTTTGTAGTTGACAGCCACATTATCCAGGTAGAGTCAAGAGGGAAGCAAGTCTTCTCTCAGCCCGTCCTCCATAAGGCAGGTTTATACCCCTGACATTTCTGAAGAACACCTTTTCTCTCAGGTTTTTAATACTTGGTGATTTCCCTAATGTATGGTTAGGTATGGTAGAGCATCTGAGATGATGTGAGCTTGTGTCTCCTCTTATATCTGAGAGAACCTCAGTAGTGAACCTCTAAAGAAGCAAAGCTATCCAATAAAACTCCCTGGGAGTCTTCTGGACCATCAGAAACGGATCCTTATCTGGTCTTTCAGGAAGACACATGAACAACCAGCAGATACCAACTCAGTCGTCCTCCGGGATCCTTGTTTTCCTTCATAACCATCCCAGTGGGTATAAATGTCAGAGATCCAGACAGAGACTGAAGCCGTGGTTCTCAAACTGTGGGGAAGAGTTACAAGCAACACCTTAGTCATTTTTGTCAACCAGGTATTGTGGCAATAAAGGTCTGAGATGACATCAGAGATAGATCTGCTAAATGGGACGACGGCAGAGTTTGTTGGACAGGATCGTCACGGTAACGGATGGAGGACGAGTGGCTTAGCTACGGACACCAGTCAATGACCACAATAAATGGAAAATGTCTTTAGAATAAACAGTTTGATAATATATGATCTATTTTAGGTCTATGTGTTTGATTTAGATAAGTTTCTAACCGCAACCTCTTCCTGCAGGCAGGGAGCATCAATAAACAGCAGTCAGTCTTTTCTTTTCACTGTTAGAATGTTTCAGGTTACAGACTTTTGCACAGCTACTGTTGTTTAGTTTGAACAGTTCCATCTCTTAGAAATTGATGCTATAGAATGTTTTTTAAATGTAAGGGACTCAAAGGGCCATTTTCAGAGCGACAGCTTTGGTGCATCGAGAGAGAAAACAGTAAAAGGTGGAAGCTTCAGGTTTTCCATCCGTCTTTCTGAAACGATGCTTTGCCTCAACCACAGTCTCTGCTCCAACACAGGGAACTCACTCAATGAATTCATTCATTAATGGGACGCATCATCACCCTGTAGAGCTTCGTTCCTACATGCAGCTTCATCCTACGCCTTCCGTAAACTCCTGCCTTTCTGGCGGGATCCTCATGCTGAGCTCGGCTAACAGGCATGCAGAGAAACGTATTTCAGAGTGAGTCCAGAGGAGGACGAGCTCCTGGAAACGTCCTGCTCTCTCTGAGCAGAGCCACAGCAAACAGACTCTCTCTCACTACAGCAGAAGCTGCATGCATCCTTTTTTTATTAGAATTTGTGCAACTAACATAGAAATTTATTTACAAGCCCATATTTAGTCTGCTGCTCCTCACTTAGGAGATATTTAAAGCAAATGTAAAAGTATTTGCATCGGGTTAAACTTGCAGGAAAAGGAAGTTACACGAATAAACAAGAGTAACATACAAATATAGCTGTAGTTGGTAAATGAATAAGCCGCAGAAAATAAGATAAATGAGTGAAATAAAAACAAAACTAAAAATAAGTAAAAATCACAGAGAAATATAAAGTTAGAAAAAAAGAGAATTAGAATTAGGATTAGTATGGCCATGGCAGGTCTTTCTGAAGTTTGGTGTCAATCCGAGCAGCACCATCTCAGGATCTTTGACTTTTCTAACTGCCTCAAAAATGTCACATTTTTCTCAATTTAAGGCATTTCCAAAGTATACGAGTAAGCTTATGAAAATGTGGCCCAAAACTTCTCCAGCATTTATCTGATTGTAACGTTCTCATGTTGGATCTGACCGCTGGAGTCCTATAGAATCCCATTATTACCTGAATTCCCACCATGTATTAGTTAGTGACTGGATGTGCTGCAGTGAATATTTCCTCCCACCTGTCCTGCTTTATGTCTATATTTATTTCACTCTCACATGTTTCTTTAGTCTCTAGAATTCATATCTATAAATAGCTTGTAAACATGACTGATGATTTTCTTATTTTCTGTTTCCAATTTTATCAAGAATTCTTGGATGGGGTGGGCTCTAAGATTTTAGTCCCATCTCTGTGTTTTGTTACAAAGTCCCTTAGTGATAAATATCTGAACAAACCTGTATTGGGGAGTGTGAATTCTGTTCTTAATTGTTCAAAGACTTAAAGCACCTTCTGAGGGCTGTGATTCTGAGGGGAAGGAGCTGGAGTATCGATCGGTGATGGTGAACATTGTGGACTGGTGTGAGAAGAACCACCTGTGTCTGAACACTAGGAAGACCAAGGAGATGGTGATGGATTTCAGGAGAAGACCACCATGATGGGCAGCTGAAGTATTTGACCTCTGGTGTTTTGATTGCGTTTGTAATCAACTTGTCTAATTTATCAAATGTGGATTTAGTAAATTCATTCATTTGTATACATTCGACGCTGCCTTTCATGGATAAGCGAAGTGTCGACCATCTGTCCAGCTTCTCTCCAATGTTTTGTGTTTAAGGTTCTGTAATCCACATCCAGTAGGTTTTCTAACAGTGGGGGATTCTGATGCCCTGATATTTACTTCCATCTTTGGGCCATTTGAAACCAACTTGACTGTGTGGGAGATTGTATTACCCATGTCCATGGTTCCGCCAGATACAGAAGTACAAAATCCACATATATTGATATTTGTGTTGTTCTCCATTTTGATTCTGATTACTCTGCTTCTGTCTCCTTGAACCCCAGTAAGCCTCGGCAGATGGCCGCTCACACTGAGCCTGGTTCTGCTGGAGGTTTCTTCCTGTTAAAAGGGAGTTTTTCCTCTCCACCGTCGCTACAAGCATGCTTAGTGGGAGGGATTGCTGAAGAGTCAATGAGTCGATGCAATCAGCTGGTTTTCCTTAGATAGAAAACTTTGAATCAATGTGACTGGATGATCTGGTGAACTGGAAAGTGCCTTGAGATGACATGATGTGAATTGGAGCTATAGAAATAAACTGAATAGAATATAATATAAATCCTAATGTTATTATCATCCCTCATAAGCTCTGCCCATGGTACAATACTCAGTACACATCCTTTTGAACTTAGACCCAGAGTTTATAGATGTCATCAGACTATTACCTATCATGTCATCATGAGCAGTGCGTCTCTGCTGGTTCTCCGGTTCAATAACTGACACCTTCTCTGAACGACGGTGTGACGGGTTAATGGCCTCTTCCTGGTGGATGGCTTCTGCTTGAAAACTCTTCTGCTTTTGTCTCACTTATCTTACTCAGAATGATGAGGTCAGCTTTATACCTGTTTATACACTCTTTGAGCTGTGTCATGGTAAGCAGGATGTTTGACGACAGAGCAAATGACGCTGGTTAAGTCACAGAGGAAGGGCCCTAAAAGCATCGGATACTTTCTGCTTTCTTCTTATTCCTGAGAAAACATAAACATGTTTGATTTTCTCCCAACCGACCAATCGCTCAGGGCACAAAGAAAGATTCTTCTTCTTCTTCCTCTCAGATGTAAACACAGAAGCATGGCGGGGGTGCAATGAGTAAAATGGAGTTCTTTCTGTAAAATTGTTTTTAAGGCTTTCAGCACAAAATCGCACAAATTGCCAAGGCAGCGCGTTTCACTCTAGTGAGCTTCATATTCCTTTTCTATTTGTTCGGCTTCCAGATAGACGAGTCAGAGGAGCTCCATCTCACTGAGGAGCTGAGTCTGACATGCTTTTTAGTCATGCAGTGTGAGCAGGTAGATGGCATCAGAGCATCGAGCGGAACATAAATTGTGAGCAGTGAACTCACACCGTACGACTTATCCCTGCGGTTAGTCGTACGGTGTGAGCTGTAGCTGGGTGCAACGATTGAAAAAAATCGCACAGGGTATGCTGAGCTTTATGATCTCTGAGATTTCTACCTTTGTAGCAGTTTATACATTGCACGTATTGGACCTGCTGTTTGACCACGCCCCTTTTCTTTCCCATTGGATATGTCTACGTATTGACACACTACTGACGTGTGTTATAGGGGTCAGTATTGGCCAGGATGTTGCGATACGATAAGTATGATGATACTGGGGTCACAATACGATATACATTGCAATATTATATCCATCCATTTTCTCCAGTTTCTTCCATCAGCTGTGAGATCGCTGCTTAACCCCAGCGCTCTATGTGTCTGAGCAGCTGAAGCAGCGCGTCGGGTGCGTTTAACGCAGGGAGAGAGACACAGCGCTGATGATCACTGCTCTTAAACAGTTTATTGACGCCTAAATTAACTTAAAATGCAGAAATCTGCCGGCAGAATATGCAGTTTGGATTATTTAGATGAAAAACACCTACCAGCTGCCGCGGTGAACCGCTGCTGATGAAGGGATCCATACTGTCGGCGCATCCCTGGTATGTGGGGGTCTGAGCGGCTCCGACAGAAAAAATATTGAAGGCAGGATAATAATCTGAATGATCTGACTGCACTGAATACGTTTTCAGGTGTATTTTCTCACTTAAACCCATATTAAAACTACAACTGCAAGGCAGAGAAAGGATAGTGAAGCTCCGCCCAACGCGCCTCAGACACACTTTTGCACCGCACAGCCAGAGCAGCAAAGCTGCTTCAGCCACGCGTCAGAACTAACTGGTACAAGCAGTAAAAATGAAGCAGCAGACGCGATTTTGCTGCTTTTGCTGCGTGAACGTAGCATAACTGCACAAAGATTGCCACTGCGCTAGCAACAAGAATGCTTTTAACTGGGGGCGTGTAGCAGTTCTCGCCGTAAAGCAAGACTGACTCTCTCGAGACTTCTGAGCCTGTGGGTGCGGGTCGGTGCTCCTGCAATTGCAAGTGCGGTATTTCCCCCACAGACCACCAGGGCGGCCGAGAATACCTTTGTTCAACCTGAAATGACTCATTTAATCATCCATAACGTTATGGAACACATTAATTAACTGAAAAATGTTGCATAGTGTGCCTTTAAGTGATCATGTTGTTTGTTGGGTTTGAATTTGATAGAAGGATAAGGAAAAAATTCAAACTTTCTACTAGTGTTGCACCGATACCGATACCAGTATCGGACGGGGCCCCGATACTGCCCTAAAATGGTGGTATCGGTATCGGTGAGTACCAACAAATAGGGCACCGATACCATTTTGAGAGTCATAAGATTATTCAGCTATTATCACCCACTCCTGGTAGGCAAGAAAAAGTTCTACTGGATTCACTTTGTATTAGATTTTTTCCTGCTTCACAAAGGTAGGCAGCAGCTTAACAAAGCCATGATGGCAATTATTTTACATTATTATGGTATTGGTATCGGCCAATACTGCACAGCCAGGTATCGGGTATCGGTATCAGGGCCAAAAAATGGCATCGGCGCAACACTACTCTCTACTAAACAATGTTCTGGGTCCATCGGGTCAGGGACCTGCACGGCGTGTGAGGGAGGTGGGCCAGTACTGGTTCAGCAGAGAGAACCGTCATTTTCCTTCCATGTTCTACATGCAGACAAGAAGAAAAAGGAGATCTGAGGTTTTCTTTCGGTCATTCAATCCTTTATTCAGTTCAAACCCAGGCTGATGCAGGAAGTACTTTCTGGGTTTTGCTGGGTATTTACCAGGTAAACCAAAACCCACATAAAAGCAAAACTGACTCAAGGCCCAGACCAAAGTACCAAAGCTCTGCACAGAACAAAAATGGCTGCTGACAAGAAGAGGATTTCAATTTAAATTCAGTTCAGTTTCCCTCTTCAGCAATCCCTCACACTAAGCATGCTTGTAGCAACAGTGGAGAGGAAAAACTCCCTTTGAACAGGAAGAAACCTCCAGTAGAACAGGCTCAGTTTGAGTGGGAACAAGTCTATGAGAAGCTCTTGTAGCATCAAAGCAGCTGTTCTGCTTTTATTGGTTCTCCCAGGGAAGGACTTTAGCTGTTCACCATTCCTGGAGCAGATATGTGATTATAGAGATGTTAGGTTTTAGCTGAGATGTCCTCACTCTGTCATTGGTGTCACAGCAGCAGCAGAAGGAGAGTCAGGCCGTACTCAGCCACAGCTATGGAGCTAAGAGTCTTCCATAATTCTGCTCCTGTTTGCAGGTAAAGGAAAGCCAGCAGCTCAAAGTGCTGTTCTCAGAGCAGCTCAGCAAACTGCAGAGCAAACAGCAGCAGGACACCGAGCTGCTGGAGGAGATCAGGTGGGGAGCCGCTCTCCTCCTGATGCCCCCTGCTGGGCTGACGATCCATAACCTGATTGTGTTTGATTTCCCCAGGTCCTTCAGCAAGCAGAGAGCAGCTATAGAGAAGGAGTACGGTCAGGTGAGAACATCTATTTCAGGGCACTTGTTACCGGAACCTTCCATGGTTTTCCACTAACAGCCTCACTAATTCCATTACTTGGCTCTTCTCTCTTCCCGTCCTCCTGGGGCTTTGCTGTTTCGCTTTATTTTGATGTTTGTTATTCTTTTCTTTTCTTACTCGCTGTGATCACCTTCTGCTTTTTTAACTCTGTCTGTTTGTTCATGGGGTGAGATGGTTGTGGGAGACGAAGGGTGAGGGGGGCCAGAGGCTGTCTGGGGAGAAGATTGTTGGGATGAGGATCCAGAGGTCCGGTTGGGAGCGCTCCGACAGAAGGAGCCACAGAAATACATCTACCTTCTGATCACCTGAAGTTCTAGTTCCAAATATCTATAAAAAAAAAAAACTTTCTCAATTATGCCTGTTTTTAGCATAAACCTCAGCTGCTCCCCAAAAGTTAAGGGAAATATTTTCTGTTTGTGTTTAACTGTGGATTCAAGAGGATGAGTTTTATCTAGCACATTAGAAGAAGAGCTTTGGGTCATTCATAAAGAACCTGATTCCTGACATCAAGCCTGAGACATAACCTCCAGCTTCAGATGGAGATCTGCCCTGCAGCCTGCCGGTCATAGAATACAGTCTGTAAGGTTGTTTTCTATGTTTTTAGCTAACTGAATTCGACCTCTCTTCAGTCCATATGCTGACATTTATTTCACTTCTTTAAAACATCTAAGATTTCAAAGCATGTCTCAGCTCATCTTCCTCCACCACAGAGAAGAAGGTCTACCAGATGGACGGATATACTAGATGGATAGATCTACCAGATGGACGGATCTACCAGATGTTTATGGATCATCTCTGGGCAGAGGAACAGCTGTTTTCCTGCAGAGATAAAAAGCTGGGATCTTCTGGGCTGTTGTCTGTAAATCTCCACAGTAGATGGATTATTAAGGGTTAGATGGACGGTGTTGGTGGGACCAGCAGAGTCGGTGGAGAAGGTCAGAACCAAGCAGAGATCTACGGCGTTACGCCGGAACATCTGTCTTTTCCAGCTGTTGGTATCTGAACTACTGCACCTGCACTCTGGACCATCATGGTTGCAGAGAAGCTCTGTGGCTTTATGGCCCCGCCTCTGTGCTGTGATTGGTCCGTTCTGTTGCAGACCGGAGGAGTGGAGCCTGACTTGTTTTTAGTCAGTCTGACAGATGTTTCTGTTTCTGTTCTTTCTCAACTGCAGCAGAATCTACAAAAGCTCAATATCAGTTTCTACGAGGAATTTTATTCCCCAGATTCCTCCTCCTGCTCCTCCTTTTCCTCAACCTTCTCCCGTTCTTCCTGCTCCTACTGATCCTCCTTCTGCTCCCCCTCATCCTCATGAGGCTCCTCCTGTTCCTCGACCTCCTCCTGTTTCTCCTGCACCTCCACTTCCTCCTCCTCCTCCGCTTCCTCCTTAATTTCCTGCTCCTCCTTCTCCTTCTCCTGCTCATTCCTTGCCAACAACTTGTTCATTTTTTAGTGTTGGTGTGTTTATTCTATAAAAGCAATAATCTCCTCTAATCTGTGGGTTACTGGGATTTATCAATGGTGGACGGGGTTATTGCTTAATTTATCAATCAATCAATCTTTACTGTCAACTACAGTTTACATTGCAATCAAAATTTCAGTTTCAGTACAAACTATTCATCACAATACATCAAATACATTGGGGTGGGGGGGCTGAGAGGGGGAACGGATTTACTGAGAACATGCGTGCCGCAGAACGCTGCTAGTAGCGCATTCTTATGCCGTCCCAGGTCCCAGCGCTGCCTTCATCTCTGTGGAAAGATAGGAGCCACATTGGTGAAGAAAGCAGAGGGTCACATCAGAGGCGGAGTCACATGAAGTCAATCTGACATTTGAAACATTAGTTGTGGTTGTATGATGAGTGCGTTAAATTTTTCCGTGAACGCTGACCACGGGCTATTATTCTCAATGAGATGGAAGTTTATCAACAGTCACTGAGCGCATCTACAGATGTTTGCGGGTAGGGCCCTTTCACCGTAACATCCAGGGGAGACTAGATAAGGGGGGGGGGGGGGCGAATCCAGAATAACAATTATTGTTTTGAGAGCAGGCTGCACAGGAATTTCCTTCAGCCTTGACGCTTTTTCTTACTGGCTCTTTCGTGGTGAGACTAATGTTCCAAATTTCCTGGGCTTTTCCGCCTTGAAGCGAGCGTGTACATGCAAGATATTATTCTATCTCACCTTTGACTACAACCACCGCAGCCAGCCTGCGTTCAATCGCACCTAGCATGCAGGTCATCTCCCGGTCCTACTCGTTCACAGCCTTTGTGAGGGCATCAACCGCTGCCGACAGCTTGATCAATGCCCAAATTGCCACAGACATCCTCTGTAATTGTAGATGCATCAGCTATCCTCCAAATCCAACAGGAGAAATCCAAGCATCAAAAAACAAAAAAAATTGGTGCATCTTCGATATCCTCAACTGACAGCGTTGTAAAACACACCATCCTCCAAGCCTTTCAGGTGTATCCCACGAAGTATGTCCCGGGAAAACAGGACCGGTCCACTTTTTTCCTAGCCTGGGTGCCAGTCCGAACTTAGTCCCGCCCACAAGGTTTGAGTTCGGGGAAGTTCGGTCTGGCTCTGCTCCATAGTAGCGCGAGTATTATTGCCCACTGTCAGGCGATCCAATCAAATTGTCAGGGCGGGCTTTATACGATGATGGACAGATGATCAAGAGTAACGTAATCAACCACGTGACCAAAGCGCGCTTGGGTGACAACAATAATGGCTGCCGCTGGAGAGTTGAGGTGAGTAGATTCTGCTATTAGGTCTGTTCTAGAAGATATCGACAGCAAATTAATTTTAAAAGAGGAACAGAGAAACGCGATCAAGCCTCATCTTCTTATTATAGGCGTGAAACTGCACGCTTTGATTTTTGTGGACAACAACTATGCCTCGCTTAACATACGTCACGCACTCCGTTGCTCTTATTGGTTGTAGGTCTATCCAATTGAGTGCAGAGGCATTTTTTTTCCTGGTTGGTTCAAAACACCCCCCATAATCACAGCTCAATGGAGCAGCATCAGACTCATATTCTGACTAGAATTGAGTCGGACTACGCCAGGCTACTTTTTTCCCGTCTTCCAGTAGAGAAAATTTGATCAATTGCATTAAAGACCAGCTGACCAGATCCACTGTTTGATTTTGTGTGATAGGAAGAGAGAGCTCAGAAAATACAAGACACAGCAAAGCAGGGACAGAGCAGGAACAAGAGGAACAGGAGCAGCAGGAAAATGCGACCGCCTCCTTGAAGAGTCAGAACAGAAGAGATTTAGCTTCTTCTGGAAGATAAATGAATAGAGAATAATGAATGTCTTTGTGTTGAACAAACCTTCAGGCTCTTCAGAGGTTGGCTGTCCAGTTCCAAAAGAAGGATTGGCAGAGAGGGAATATGGACGCCGTGGTTACTGGGTGACTAACCCCCCGATGCAGATCTTCCTGACCACCATGAACGCACCACGAGTCTACATTAATGCTGCTGCTGTTGCCTTCAGGAGTGTGTTTGCTGTATGGAGATCCGTGGTGGACGCCGCCGCTCAGGCTGCAGCCTCTCGACTTGCTGCGGCAGAGGAATACCGCAGACTTACTGGACAAACCTCCAAAAGTATTCACAATGCCAAGGAAACTGGGGCCAAAAGAGTGAGGCGCCACACACTGAGGGATCCTCTGAAATATGCCCTGAGTGATTAACAAATGGCAACTTTCAGGGCCTGGAGAGACTGCAGAAGGTGCAGGGGGAGGTGGTGGAGGCCCTACGGGAGCTGCAAACGGTCAAGAAGAGCTACATCCATCTGAGCAATGTTGCCAGTGTAGCTAGAGAGAAAGCAGCTGAGGCACAGAGCAGGTGGGTGACCTGACCTCCACCTTATCACATACACCTGTTCTCTGATCTTCTCATGTCCACATCTGGAAACTCTAAACGTGTAAAAATTAAACACAGTCAATGAACAAAGCTGCTATTTGGAATGAAAGCCCATGAAGGAGCAACCAGAGGAGGCCTTAGGGAGAGCTCAGCAGGCAAATCTCAGAGGAGGAGAGGGGGGAACACTGGGGAGTAGTGGTAGGATCATTACCATTAGGCAATACTAGGCAGCTGCCTAGGGCCCCAAGTTCCAGGGGGCCCCATAAAACTCTGTTTCCATGTATGGTTAATACAACTATTCCTTATTTTTGAACATTAATTATGTTTTTTTATAAAAATCCTTTGGCTAAAATGCCATCAGAACGCTGATAATAATAAGTGTGTCTCAGCCCCCCCTTCAGTGTCCACCATATTGGATCAGTCCATTTGCTGCACATGTTCAGAAAGGTCCAAACAGACAGCAGCAAACTATTTCAAAACAAACCATGCAAAGAGCAGTGTTGCCAACTTAGCGCTTTAGTCGCTATATTTAGCCACTTTTCAGACCCCTCTAGAACTTTGATTTCTAGAAAGCTCCTAGCGCCAGATCTAGAGACTTTTTTCTGCTACAGGAGACTTTGGAGATAACATCTAAAAGCAGCGAACTCTGCTCTCCAGAGCGAGTAGATTGGTAACCCCGCCTCCTGCTCTCCTCTATCTTGTCTGCTGTCATGATTCATGCAGCTATTATTTCATCCAAATGAAAAATGGAGAACAGAGAAGCAGATCATGGCTTGTCTACAGTGAAAAGAAGGACTGGGTTATTTACTTTGGCCTTTTTGGAAACACAGGAAGGAGCAATCAGCTAAGTGAGCTTAGTGCTTGGAAAAAATCTTTCATTCCTTTAGAGACAGCATGAAAAGTCAGCTGAGTACAAAACATAGAGAGGAAAACAAGAAGGAAAGGGACAAGAAGAGAGGGACACAACCTAGAACAGATAATGGATGTCTATTCTATTAACATTTCTCTATCTGTAGAATGGATCTGTTCTATGTTTTCTCCATTCAGAGGGCCCCCTGCCTGTCTTTGCCTAGGGCCCCACATTTCCTAAATAGGCCTCTGGGTGGCATAACCAGCTGGATGGGTGGAAATGATAGAAGAAGTGGAAGCAGCGGAAACAGATTTACCTGGAGGGCTGTACCTCAGCCTCAGGATCTGGATTCATCTTTTCCATTGTTTTATATTTTTCTGCTGTTTTTTTTTCACATATCTTCTCCTTTCATTGCTTTTTTTTCCAAGGTTTATGATTTTCTATCCTGGAAGTTATTCATGTTTTTTTGGTCAGATCATGTCTTTGTAGACCTTCCTTCTCCTGCTGCCTTCCTTTGAGGAGAACCTTTCAGACAGGCTGTGTTTTGTTTCCACCATGCAGCGTTGCTCAGCAGCTCCTCACCATCCATATATGGTAGCCCCTTCCTGTTTCTATCTGGCATGGAGGCTAGATTTTGTTGATATTTCATCTACTCAGTCTTACAGTCTGTCAGTAAATTGTAGAAGATGGAGATGTTTCCTCACAAAAACTGTAGCTGAAACTATCGTCTCCTTTAAGCTTCCGGACTGATGCGTTCCTTTATCATTTCTAATATTTCACATAATTAGTGTCATTATTCTGTTGTTTCAGGATTGTTTGTGACATGTTTTTAATTTTGCCATCTTGCAGACCTAGAAAGAGTGAACATGGGATATTCCACTTCAGACCAGGTCTTCATAAGATGACAGTGAAGGTATGAGTCTGGATTGACCAATCAGAGACGGTTATCTGGTCCATGGAAACATTGGCCTTTTCATTAATCAGTTATAGTTCTGGACTTCTGGATTTTCATCTAATTTAGTGTTTTTTCTTTCTGAATTTGGCCAAAATAGCACAAAAAAATCCACAGACCCAGAATAGCATTTATCTAAAGGGAATTATCAAACCCGTGTTAGGTAGGAAACTCATCTCGCTGTAGAATCACCTGTAGTGAATAGTTAAAAGGTAAAGGCGTGACTGTTTGCTGATGTCTGTGCAGCTCAATGCCAGGATGATGGAGTGTGAGCAGCGTTTGAACGAAGCTCGGAATGAGTATCTGCTGACACTGGCAGCGGTCAACGCACATCAGCAGCATTACCACGCTCACGACCTTCCACTCCTGATGCAGGTGAGACACACCTGGTTCCAGGAAGCACGGGGCAGATGAGCGTCCCTCTTCTCACATTCGATGAATGAAACCCGGCTCCTTCCTCTGGCCTCCTCCCCAGCAAATGGACGGGGAAGTTTACGATGATTTGAGGCACCACTTCGCCCGCCTGTGTGGGACAGAGATGGACGCCTGTCTGGCGACGCACGAGCCATTCAGCAGGATCTGGGATTGTGTTGCTAAGGTCTGTAGGCTCCTGACCACGGGTCAGACCCCTCCATCCTAAACACGTCAGTACAAACAGACACTGAAGAGGCAACCAGTGCTATAAAACCTTATTTAAGCTTCAGCTGGTTTGTTTGGATCAGAATTACTTACTGCTCTCATTGGCTCCGCCTCTGCCCTCCTCCTGTTGCTTTCTGTAAACAATGGCCGCCATGTCTCCATAGAAACCAGGGTAAGGTCAGGCGCTAACCCTTTCCACGCCAAGGTTTTGATCTATTTAACCCTGACAGGAAGAGGAGCTGTCCCTCTGACGCAGCGTACGCACAACTTGAAAACAGGGGAAACTTGAAACACAGAGGCTGCATTGTGGCTTTGAAGCCAGATTGCATCATGGTTCCCGTCAAACATTTAATTTCACTCAAACTTTAATCACAGACTGACCTCAGAGTGACATATGCTTGAATTTGGGAGCCTTGACTATACCATAGGATTGGTCTTTTAAGCCGTAGTTAATCTGAACTCAGCACAGATGAAATCTTTTCCCTCCCCGGTTGTCACAAGGTGAGTTTCACCACAGAAATGATCACAAGCTGTGATTCATTCACACCAGCAGCATTCATATACTGCCGTGATACTGTGCTGCATGATGGAGGCACTGGCTCCACTGGAGGACGCTGAAAATGGTGAGATTAGATTAAATAAAATTAGATCACATCAGATTAGACTGGATTAGATTAGATTAGATCAAATACGTTTACAGTAGACTAGATCTTAGATAAGATTAGATCACATTAGATTAGATTAGATAAAATAAAATAAGATTACATCAGATTAGACTAGATTAGATTATATCAGATTAGATTGAATTCGATCAGATTCGATTAGATTATCAGATAAGATTACATCAGATTAGACTGGATTAGATTATATCAGATTAGATTACATCAGATTAGACTGGATTAGATTAGATTAGATTAGATTAGGTCAAATATGTTTACAGTAGATTAGAACAGATCAGATTAGATTTGATCACATTAATTACATTATATTAGATTAGATTAAATCACATCTGATTAGATTAGATAAAATAAGATTACATCAGATTAGACTGGATTATATAAAATCAGATTAGATTGAATTCAATCAGATTCGATCAGATTATATCAGATAAGATTACATCAGATTAGACTGGATTACGTTATATCAGATTAGATTACATCAGATTAGACTGGATTAGATTATATCAGATAAGATTACATCAGATTAGACTGGATTAGATTATATCAGATAAGATTACATCAGATTAGACTGGATTAGATTAGATCAAATACGTTTACAGTAGACTAGATTAGATCAGATTAGATTAGATTATATCAGATTAGATTACATCAGATTAGACTGGATTAGATTATATCAGATAAGATTACATCAGATTAGACTGGATTAGATTATATCAGATAAGATTACATCAGATTAGACTGGATTAGATTAGATCAAATACGTTTACAGTAGACTAGATTAGATCAGATCAGATTTGATTAGATTATATCAGATTAGATTACATCAGATTAGGATGGATAAGATTAGATTAGATAAAACTAAATAAGATTATATTGGATTCGATCAAATTAGATCAGATCAGATGTTGAAAGTTGAGGCATCCCGAATATTTGCAGAGCTGCAGACCTTAGAAATGAGGAACATTAATGCTGCATTTGAAGTGAAGGCAAAGCATGAGTGATATTTCTATTATTACCCACATGTATCTATCTATAAACCACTGGGTGCTATTTATTTATTATTAGTTTAACATGGATTTTAGTGAAAACTTTGCACAGAACGATGACGATTTTCCAATTGACTTTGTGAAGAAAGGAGCATCAGGGGCTGCAATCCCAAATTTGAAGTTACTGGTCACCCCGAACATCCCCAGATTAAAAGAAAGAGATCATCTCTGGGATCAAATTTACCTTAGAATCTGATTTCAGTGATAGAAAAAAATATCAGAAAAATGATGAAAGTTAAATTAAGATACATTTATGTTAGGATTTTTAATGTTGTTTTCATCTTAGGAAAAAAAAAAGGCGAGGCAAGGCAAATTTATTTGTATAGCATAATTCAGTACAAAGACAATGCAAAGTGCTTTACATGATTAAAATACAGGAAGATAAAACAGAATCAAAGCGAGTAGGAAAAAATAAATAAAATAAAATAAAAAATGCAGAAACAAAAAAAGAATATTAAAAACAGTTGGACTAAAGAAAATATGTTTTATTTGAACTGTTTAACTAGAACAGTCGAGGGCAATCCTAAACAAATGTCTTCATTTAAAAAGCAATTCATGGATAGTAGCATGTCTTGCTAACCGTTCCACTTGTCAGAAAACAGTCGGTTACGTCTTTAAACCCGATATGAGGCATTCTTCATCTTCATGCAGAAGGTAAAACATAAAGGCCCACAGAGAGGAGAGAGCGGAGCCGAAGAGGCAACCTGTGGGAATAAGGAACTGGGCAGAGGGAGGGAGGTTTGCAGAGAGAAATTCAACACATGAGCAATATTTCTGAAGCTGTTTGTTTTTCCACAGAGGAGTTTATTCACATGTGTTCCCTAAACTTTAAGCCAATAAAGCAGAGTTAATCCGAGTCTTCATGACAGCAGCTCACAGTGGAGATTTATCCGATCAGCCAACGCTTCATTTGTTGCTCATATCTTGTTTTTTTTTCAGGTGACCAGAGAGAGGAACGTTCAGCAGCTTCTGCAGGAATCAGATTCCTTCAGAAAAACATCTGACTTCATCTTCCAGCCTGATCCGCAGGACATGGTTTGTGTCTCTATTTATTTATTGCTGTTTAAGCTCAGGAATTAAAGTTAAACGTCAGGGAAATGACCGTGAATTCTAAAAACAAACCAACCCTGGAAGATCAGGTGACCTATTGACTGCTTTCTGTAGTCCTGGGTCAGGCACCACCACCTGCCAGGGACTCTCTGGTTCCTGGCTAACATCATGAGGGAGGTGTGTCTACTGTAGTCACGGCAACAAGGACAACCCTTGGTCAGAGCTATGGTGGTTATGTGTGAGTTGGATTGGGTGAATGATCAGCCAGGAATGGGTCTGAGATGCTGTTTGGAGCCAGACCTGGCCTGCACTTGTGTGACGCCCAATCCTACTCCCCTTTACCTGCCTGCCTCTGCTAATTTCTGGGTCTGGAGATTGGTCCCTAGACCTGGGAGGATAGTGTTTGTAGAAGGAGTGTAAGAATGACTTCAGTGTCTGCTCCTGTGTGTTATTCTTCCAGCCAGTGGTTCCTCTGCAGGAGCTCAGGAAGAAAAGATGATGGTTCCTCTTCTACACACAGGTATCTGCCCTGCAGGACATTCAAGGCCCTGAAGGAGAAAGCTGTTTGGTGAAGGAGGCCAAGAAATGGGCTACTAAGGCTGCTAAGGACTACAAGGTCATCACCCATGGTGAAAGGGTGAGCTGAGCACTGCAGGAGCAACCACAGAAAAATATCTGCTTTTTGACCCTTTCCCAGATCACTGTTTGGATTGTTTTAGCCACAGTAATCATGGCAGAACTCTTTCTTCTGGAACTGACTGCCTCTTCTTCCCGTTCCACAGCCAATGCCCTGGTTTTATGTCTGAGGCTGTTTTGAGGTAAACTCCAGCTCCAAGTCTGATTGGTCTGATTTTCTTTGCCAGGCTCTAGAGATGCTGGAGAGTCGCCTGAAGCTGCTGTCAGGGGAGACGGGGCTCAGTGTGGAGCAGAAGATCTCAGAGGTTCAGGAGACTGTCAGAAAAGCAAAGGTTGACATGTTTCACATGGATCCAGTCAAAGTATCAATCAGTCTGAGTTCTTTTGGTCCTCCTTTACCTCTCTCTGAACTTTTTCTGTTATCAATAATCTCAGGTCAACACTCAGCTCTAAAGTTTGCAACATGCTGCACTTGATGAGAGCATCATTTTCAGGTTTAAGGACCTTGCAGGGTGTCTATAGGCAGCCTCACCCACAATGTGTGACTTAGCCTGATGTTCTCAACAAGCATGCCTGTGTGCTTCTCTTCTTCAGCTCAGCAGGGTGAAAGCAGAGGCTCGCCTAACTCTTCTGGCCCACAGTGTCGCAGGCATCGAGCAGTGGCTGCACAATGCCATGCACCAGGCAGAGGAGGAACTGGAGACAGAGAGACGCCTCAGCGAGCAGAGAAGGTCCACAGAGGAGTTCTCAGTGAGGACATACACTACAACACCAACTAAAGTCCATAATCCCTGCTCACTAACTTCAGCTTTGTCCTTCAGTATAAAGCAAACAGTCAGGCGTTAGCTGTTAGCCCGAACGTAAACCTGACAAGAAACCCTCTGTATTTATTTAGAGGACAAGTCACTAATGATATTCTCATTGCCTCAGATAATGGACTTGTATCTGTGCTCGTCCTGTTGGATCTCAGTGCTGCATTTGATACAGTTGACCATAATATTCTTTTAGAAAGACTTGAATATTTTGTTGGAATTAAAGGAACAGCACTAGACTGGTTTAAATCTGATCTATCTGATCGAATTCAGTTTGTTCATGTTAATGATAGATCTTCAACACGCTCAAAGGTTACCTGTGGAGTACCACAGGGATCAGTGCTAGGACCAATTCTCTTTACTTTATACATGCTCCCAATTGGTAGAATTATTAGACAGCATGGGATTAATTTCCACTGTTATGCTGATGATACCCAGCTATATCTGTCTATAAATCCAGATGAAGCTCACCCATTACATAGATTACAGGCATGTCTTGAAGACATAAAAACCTGGATGACTCTTAACTTTCTGCTTCTGAATGCAGACAAAACAGAAGTTATAGTCTTTGGACCAGAGTCTTTGAAAAAGAAGCTGATTAGCCAGTCACTTCATTTGGATGGGATTAAACTGATTTCAGATAATAAAGTAAAAAATCTTGGTGTTGTTTTTGATCAGGACCTGTCATTTAAATCCCAGATCAAAGAGGTTTCTAGAATTTCCTTCTTTCATCTGAGGAATATTGTAAAAATGAGCAATCTCCTGTCCAGGGGTGATGCTGAGAAACTAGTCCATGCATTTGTTACTTCAAGGCTGGACTATTGTAATTCTTTACTATCAGGAAGTCCACAAACTGTAGTTAAAAGCCTTCAGCTGATCCAAAATGCTGCAGCCAGAGTTCTGATGAAAATTAAAAAGAGAGATCATATCTCTCCTATCCTGGCTTCTCTTCATTGGCTTCCTGTTAAATCCAGAATAGAATTTAAAATCCTCCTTCTCACATATAAAGCCTTAAATGGCCAAGCTCCATCTGATATCAGAGATCTGATTGTTCCTTATGTTCCTAACAGAGCACTTCGCTCTCAATCTGCAGGTTTACTAGTGGTTCCTAGAATTTCTAAAAGTAGAATGGGAGGCAGATCTTTTAGTTCTCAGGCTCCTCTCCTGTGGAACCAACTACCAGTTTTAGTCCGTGAGGCAGACACCCTGTCTACTTTTAAGGCTAGGCTTAAAACTTTCCTTTCTGATAAAGCTTATAGTTAGAGTGGCTCAGGTTATCCTGATCTATCTCTATAGTTATGCTGCTATAGGCTTAGACTGCTGGAGGACATAGGGACCCCCATTTCATCATTCTGCTCCATCTCTATTCTCCCACTCTGCAGAATCTGTTAGTTCAATCTCTAACGTTCTGCTCTCTCTGCTTTTTCTCATAGTAGCTTCATCTGGTCTGTTTCTGTTTGGCTGTGACTCCATCCTGTTCAAAGGGAGTTTTTTTCTCTCCACTGTCGCTACAAGCATGCTTAGTGTGAGGGATTGCTGAAGAGTCAATGAGTCGATGCAATCAACTGGTTTTCCTTAGATAGAAAACTTTTAATCAATCTGAATGGATGATCTGGTTGAACTGGAAAGTGACCTGAGATGACATGATGTGAATTGATGCTATAGAAATAAACTGAATTGAATTGAATTGAATGAGCTGTCAGAAAGATTAAATGACACAAGAAAATATGTTTGTTATATTTTCATAATAAAGATATTTATAAACTAGATCATGTTTTTATTTTTCAACTCGTTATTTTTAGGGTTAGTGGCTCTTTCTTCTCTCTAACTTTTAGCAGCTTCCATCATTCCCTGAAGCCGAGCACGAGTCTCAGGTCTTCTGTCCTCTGTGTCCCTCATCTCCAAGACCAACATGGCTGCTCCTCCTTCTGTCTCTGATCTCACGTCTTTCTGTGTTTTCAGGAGGATGAGTTGGAGCTTACTGATTTTGAGGTTTATGAGGATGAGAAAGGAGACATATTTGCAGATCCCATGTCTCCCTCTGGCACCTGCGTGTATCCTGCAGCCTGCAGAGTGATTTACAGCTATCAGGTAGCTGTCATTTGGATGTGTGTGTTTGGGGGGTAAAAGTACTCAAAAGTAACAAATCTTTACTTTTAAAAATACTTCAAGTGTTAAATAATACTTTCTGAATGAACTGTAGTGTGACGATTAATAAGTGTACCTATTATATTTATATTTTCTTTAATACAGTAATGTTATTTTAATGCATGTTTCATTTTTCTGTCAAAATTCAGACATTTGACTTGTAATTTCAGGGATGATCTGTTAAATATCATTAAGTGCAGAAAGGCGACTGATGAAACCTTTGAAAGAGTTTAATTCAATAAAACTTATGCCATGTTTTATTTAATCTGAAGTTAGCAGATTACTACAACATCAACCTCCCTCTGACTAACAGACTCTGATCTTTTTAACTGTTTTTTTTTCTCCAGTTTAATCCTGAACTCCAGGGTTTAACAATCCTGTAAAGGCAGCTTTGTAATTCAGGGATGTCAGACTTTCAATGAGCTCCACATTCCTGCAGCTTTTATATTTGTCTCTATTTCAACACCAGAATCAAATAATCTGATCATTAATTGAACTCTGAGAACTTCTGGCATCATTCAGAAACGTAAAGGCTGCAGGAAAGCAGACCTGAAGGACGGAGTCTCTGGATCCAGCTTCCTTCCTGTTGGTGGCAGCTGCAGTCAGAGCAGCGGATTGATGGAGATGAGAGCTGAGCTTTTATGAAAGTCAAATTAGTCTGAATTTATACAAAAATGAAAAAAACTGCACTGAATCAAATGACGCATTTATGTTTGCAAAACTAATCTGTCAGTTTCTTTGCTAAGAATATCTAAACATGATTTTAGCCAGATGAATGTACGTCTGCTAAGTCTGACTTTTTTTCTGTGTATATTAATCAAAGAAGCTGAACAGGAATATTATCTGACCTCACATCATCTATTCTCAGCGCTGATTGGCAAAAAAAAGGGAGTTTATTTAATTATGAAGTGTGGATTAAATGCATATTCAGGATTATATTCTATATCTATGTCTTGTTTTCTAATCCAGGCGAGTATATATTGCAGCTCTTCACATGTTTGATTTATCTGCAATAATGGAAAGTTAACGAAAGTCCATAAGTTAACGCAGGTGTTGCTGGAGGCATCTGCACCGCTTCCCCCATGAAAATAACCCGGTTCTTCTCCAGTAACACGGGGGGGGGGGAATGTTAGATTCATAATTCGAGTCTTTCTTTTTTTTTTTTTTAAGTAGCCACTAAATGGGCCTGGACTGTTGCTTTATGTAGCGACGTCTCTAAGCACCATCATTGATTAGCATGGAAGCAAAAGCCCATGAAAAACCGACCGTTATGCATGTTCATCCTGTTTACTTCTCGCTAGTGGCGCTTTTGTAAATCTTTCACATGCAAAGAATTTAGCATTTAGCAACTTACCTCAATATGATTTTTTTTAGACCTAAGGGAGAGCTTTAAGGTAGAAGCTTTTGCTTTCAAGAGAGACAAAGGAAGAGTCATTTATGGAGCCAATAAAAAAAAAAAAAGTTTTCTAATGAGCATTTTAAAACAGTGAAGCTCTTTTTATTGGCTGATCTTTATCTTCTGGACAAACTGGTTTCCATAAAGCAAAGGTGTCTCAGTGACTGCGTACTTGAAATAGGAGAAACTGGATATAATTCTGAGATGAATCTGCAGGTATTTGAAGCTGTGGAAAGTTATTGTTATTGGTTCATATCCAAGATTAAACCCAGTTGTTTTTACTTTAAAGGCGAGCCAATCAGATGAGCTATCGGTCACAGAGGGGGAGGAGCTTCATATCATTGAAGATGGAGATGTGGAGGACTGGCTAAAGGTATATTTCAGTCTGCAGTGCAGTGATCCTACCTCCGTATCTTAGCATGTCTGCCTGTGTCTTTACGCAGGTGTGTAACTCCTGTGGCCAGATGGGCTACATTCCTGAGCAGTATGTGAAGGTCCTGTGTCTGCCAGCAGAGGGCAGTGCTCAGCTGGACGGCTCCTTCAGTTCCACCTCATCCTCAGGGAACAAGGAGCGAGCAGGTCAGTAGTCGGTGCCTACTGGAATTCACCATCGACCAAACCTTCAGACCAAAGGAGCAGAGATCCAGAGTTAGCTCTTAGCTTCAGCTGCTGCAGCTAGAAACCACTGAGTATGGCTGAAATCATGATGGACTCAGACCTAAACCTTCACCTGTCATACTGCTAGCTCTTGGACTCTTAAGTAGGCACGAGCACAGAGAAAAACTGTTTATTCTCAGGGACATGCAAAGGAGAGCAGAATAAGGAAAGAACTATGGTAGCCAGGACTGAGAGAGGCACTGGAATGGAAAGCAATATGCTAAATGGGGATGGATGGATTATGGAAAGTTGTTTAAAGCAGTTTAAGTCAGCGAGTTACAGTGAGTAGGAGTTCATGAAGGCTGGTCTTAGCTGGTTGGAAGTAGATGTTGGGGTTTGAGAGTGGAGACACTGGTCTTTTAGGGTGTTTGGAGATAAGGGTGGGTGAACCTGAGGAAGGAGCAGGACGGAAGCCTCGGGGGAGGTAGATCCAACGAGAGAAAAACTCAACGCTGAAATTTTACTAAGTTGGCTTTACCACTCTGAGTACAATAACTATCTGATTGAAGTAATGGACCCCAGTTGGACTCAATTAGCCTGCCACCCTGTGAGAGAAAAGGAAAGAGACACACAGCCACTCCACCCAGCTCTGGAAACCTGACATCACCGGCTCAGAATGGCAGTTACTGAGTCAGCCTTTGATCAGCTGAAGAACATCTCCAGGATTAAAGGACTGATGTCCAGCAGAATCTAGAAAAACCCCTCCATGCTTTTATCTATACTAGAATTGATCACTGCAACAGTGTCTGCATAGGTTTGCCTAAAAACCCATCAGAGACTGAAGCTGATCAACATGCTGCTGCCTGCGTCCTCACTAGAACTATAGAAAGTAGATCAGACAGCTGATCCAGATGCTGCTGCCTGCGTCCTCACTAGAACTATAGAAAGTAGATCAGACAGCTGATCCAGACGCTGCTGCCTGCGTCCTCACTAGAACTATAGAAAGTAGATCAGACAGCTGATCCAGACGCTGCTGCCTGCGTCCTCACTAGAACTATAGAAAGTAGATCAGACAGCTGATCCAGACGCTGCTGCCTGCGTCCTCACTAGAACTATAGAAAGTAGATCAGACAGCTGATCCAGACGCTGCTGCCTGCGTCCTCACTAGAACTATAGAAAGTAGATCAGACAGCTGATCCAGACGCTGCTGCCTGCGTCCTCACTAGAACTATAGAAAGTAGATCAGACAGCTGATCCAGATGCTGCTGCCTGCGTCCTCACTAGAACTATAGAAAGTAGATCAGACAGCTGATCCAGACGCTGCTGCCTGCGTCCTCACTAGAACTATAGAAAGTAGATCAGACAGCTGATCCAGACGCTGCTGCCTGCGTCCTCACTAGAACTATAGAAAGTAGATCAGACAGCTGATCCAGACGCTGCTGCCTGCGTCCTCACTAGAACTATAGAAAGTAGATCAGACAGCTGATCCAGACGCTGCTGCCTGCGTCCTCACTAGAACTATAGAAAGTAGATCAGACAGCTGATCCAGACGCTGCTGCCTGCGTCCTCACTAGAACTATAGAAAGTAGATCAGACAGCTGATCCAGACGCTGCTGCCTGCGTCCTCACTAGAACTATAGAAAGTAGATCAGACAGCTGATCCAGATGCTGCTGCCTGCGTCCTCACTAGAACTATAGAAAGTAGATCAGACAGCTGATCCAGATGCTGCTGCCTGCGTCCTCACTAGAACTATAGAAAGTAGATCAGACAGCTGATCCAGATGCTGCTGCCTGCGTCCTCACTAGAACTATAGAAAGTAGATCAGACAGCTGATCCAGACGCTGCTGCCTGCGTCCTCACTAGAACTATAGAAAGTAGATCAGACAGCTGATCCAGATGCTGCTGCCTGCGTCCTCACTAGAACTATAGAAAGTAGATCAGACAGCTGATCCAGATGCTGCTGCCTGCGTCCTCACTAGAACTATAGAAAGTAGATCAGACAGCTGATCCAGACGCTGCTGCCTGCGTCCTCACTAGAACTATAGAAAGTAGATCAGACAGCTGATCCAGATGCTGCTGCCTGCGTCCTCACTAGAACTATAGAAAGTAGATCAGACAGCTGATCCAGACGCTGCTGCCTGCGTCCTCACTAGAACTATAGAAAGTAGATCAGACAGCTGATCCAGACGCTGCTGCCTGCGTCCTCACTAGAACTATAGAAAGTAGATCAGACAGCTGATCCAGACGCTGCTGCCTGCGTCCTCACTAGAACTATAGAAAGTAGATCAGACAGCTGATCCAGACGCTGCTGCCTGCGTCCTCACTAGAACTATAGAAAGTAGATCAGACAGCTGATCCAGATGCTGCTGCCTGCGTCCTCACTAGAACTATAGAAAGTAGATCAGACAGCTGATCCAGACGCTGCTGCCTGCGTCCTCACTAGAACTATAGAAAGTAGATCAGACAGCTGATCCAGATGCTGCTGCCTGCGTCCTCACTAGAACTATAGAAAGTAGATCAGACAGCTGATCCAGACGCTGCTGCCTGCGTCCTCACTAGAACTATAGAAAGTAGATCAGACAGCTGATCCAGACGCTGCTGCCTGCGTCCTCACTAGAACTATAGAAAGTAGATCAGACAGCTGATCCAGACGCTGCTGCCTGCGTCCTCACTAGAACTATAGAAAGTAGATCAGACAGCTGATCCAGACGCTGCTGCCTGCGTCCTCACTAGAACTATAGAAAGTAGATCAGACAGCTGATCCAGACGCTGCTGCCTGCGTCCTCACTAGAACTATAGAAAGTAGATCAGACAGCTGATCCAGACGCTGCTGCCTGCGTCCTCACTAGAACTATAGAAAGTAGATCAGACAGCTGATCCAGACGCTGCTGCCTGCGTCCTCACTAGAACTATAGAAAGTAGATCAGACAGCTGATCCAGATGCTGCTGCCTGCGTCCTCACTAGAACTATAGAAAGTAGATCAGACAGCTGATCCAGATGCTGCTGCCTGCGTCCTCACTAGAACTATAGAAAGTAGATCAGACAGCTGATCCAGACGCTGCTGCCTGCGTCCTCACTAGAACTATAGAAAGTAGATCAGACAGCTGATCCAGACGCTGCTGCCTGCGTCCTCACTAGAACTATAGAAAGTAGATCAGACAGCTGATCCAGACGCTGCTGCCTGCGTCCTCACTAGAACTATAGAAAGTAGATCAGACAGCTGATCCAGACGCTGCTGCCTGCGTCCTCACTAGAACTATAGAAAGTAGATCAGACAGCTGATCCAGATGCTGCTGCCTGCGTCCTCACTAGAACTATAGAAAGTAGATCAGACAGCTGATCCAGACGCTGCTGCCTGCGTCCTCACTAGAACTATAGAAAGTAGATCAGACAGCTGATCCAGATGCTGCTGCCTGCGTCCTCACTAGAACTATAGAAAGTAGATCAGACAGCTGATCCAGACGCTGCTGCCTGCGTCCTCACTAGAACTATAGAAAGTAGATCAGACAGCTGATCCAGACGCTGCTGCCTGCGTCCTCACTAGAACTATAGAAAGTAGATCAGACAGCTGATCCAGATGCTGCTGCCTGCGTCCTCACTAGAACTATAGAAAGTAGATCAGACAGCTGATCCAGATGCTGCTGCCTGCGTCCTCACTAGAACTATAGAAAGTAGATCAGACAGCTGATCCAGACGCTGCTGCCTGCGTCCTCACTAGAACTATAGAAAGTAGATCAGACAGCTGATCCAGACGCTGCTGCCTGCGTCCTCACTAGAACTATAGAAAGTAGATCAGACAGCTGATCCAGACGCTGCTGCCTGCGTCCTCACTAGAACTATAGAAAGTAGATCAGACAGCTGATCCAGATGCTGCTGCCTGCATCCTCACTAGAACTATAGAAAGTAGATCAGACAGCTGATCCAGACGCTGCTGCCTGCGTCCTCACTAGAACTATAGAAAGTAGATCAGACAGCTGATCCAGACGCTGCTGCCTGCGTCCTCACTAGAACTATAGAAAGTAGATCAGACAGCTGATCCAGACGCTGCTGCCTGCGTCCTCACTAGAACTATAGAAAGTAGATCAGACAGCTGATCCAGACGCTGCTGCCTGCGTCCTCACTAGAACTATAGAAAGTAGATCAGACAGCTGATCCAGACGCTGCTGCCTGCGTCCTCACTAGAACTATAGAAAGTAGATCAGACAGCTGATCCAGACGCTGCTGCCTGCATCCTCACTAGAACTATAGAAAGTAGATCAGACAGCTGATCCAGACGCTGCTGCCTGCGTCCTCACTAGAACTATAGAAAGTAGATCAGACAGCTGATCCAGACGCTGCTGCCTGCGTCCTCACTAGAACTATAGAAAGTAGATCAGACAGCTGATCCAGATGCTGCTGCCTGCGTCCTCACTAGAACTATAGAAAGTAGATCAGACAGCTGATCCAGACGCTGCTGCCTGCGTCCTCACTAGAACTATAGAAAGTAGATCAGACAGCTGATCCAGATGCTGCTGCCTGCGTCCTCACTAGAACTATAGAAAGTAGATCAGACAGCTGATCCAGACGCTGCTGCCTGCGTCCTCACTAGAACTATAGAAAGTAGATCAGACAGCTGATCCAGACGCTGCTGCCTGCGTCCTCACTAGAACTATAGAAAGTAGATCAGACAGCTGATCCAGATGCTGCTGCCTGCGTCCTCACTAGAACTATAGAAAGTAGATCAGACAGCTGATCCAGACGCTGCTGCCTGCGTCCTCACTAGAACTATAGAAAGTAGATCAGACAGCTGATCCAGACGCTGCTGCCTGCGTCCTCACTAGAACTATAGAAAGTAGATCAGACAGCTGATCCAGACGCTGCTGCCTGCGTCCTCACTAGAACTATAGAAAGTAGATCAGACAGCTGATCCAGATGCTGCTGCCTGCGTCCTCACTAGAACTATAGAAAGTAGATCAGACAGCTGATCCAGACGCTGCTGCCTGCGTCCTCACTAGAACTATAGAAAGTAGATCAGACAGCTGATCCAGACGCTGCTGCCTGCGTCCTCACTAGAACTATAGAAAGTAGATCAGACAGCTGATCCAGACGCTGCTGCCTGCGTCCTCACTAGAACTATAGAAAGTAGATCAGACAGCTGATCCAGACGCTGCTGCCTGCGTCCTCACTAGAACTATAGAAAGTAGATCAGACAGCTGATCCAGACGCTGCTGCCTGCGTCCTCACTAGAACTATAGAAAGTAGATCAGACAGCTGATCCAGACGCTGCTGCCTGCGTCCTCACTAGAACTATAGAAAGTAGATCAGACAGCTGATCCAGACGCTGCTGCCTGCGTCCTCACTAGAACTATAGAAAGTAGATCAGACAGCTGATCCAGACGCTGCTGCCTGCGTCCTCACTAGAACTATAGAAAGTAGATCAGACAGCTGATCCAGACGCTGCTGCCTGCGTCCTCACTAGAACTATAGAAAGTAGATCAGACAGCTGATCCAGATGCTGCTGCCTGCGTCCTCACTAGAACTATAGAAAGTAGATCAGACAGCTGATCCAGACGCTGCTGCCTGCGTCCTCACTAGAACTATAGAAAGTAGATCAGACAGCTGATCCAGACGCTGCTGCCTGCGTCCTCACTAGAACTATAGAAAGTAGATCAGACAGCTGATCCAGACGCTGCTGCCTGCGTCCTCACTAGAACTATAGAAAGTAGATCAGACAGCTGATCCAGACGCTGCTGCCTGCGTCCTCACTAGAACTATAGAAAGTAGATCAGACAGCTGATCCAGACGCTGCTGCCTGCGTCCTCACTAGAACTATAGAAAGTAGATCAGACAGCTGATCCAGACGCTGCTGCCTGCGTCCTCACTAGAACTATAGAAAGTAGATCAGACAGCTGATCCAGACGCTGCTGCCTGCGTCCTCACTAGAACTATAGAAAGTAGATCAGACAGCTGATCCAGACGCTGCTGCCTGCGTCCTCACTAGAACTATAGAAAGTAGATCAGACAGCTGATCCAGATGCTGCTGCCTGCGTCCTCACTAGAACTATAGAAAGTAGATCAGACAGCTGATCCAGACGCTGCTGCCTGCGTCCTCACTAGAACTATAGAAAGTAGATCAGACAGCTGATCCAGACGCTGCTGCCTGCGTCCTCACTAGAACTATAGAAAGTAGATCAGACAGCTGATCCAGATGCTGCTGCCTGCGTCCTCACTAGAACTATAGAAAGTAGATCAGACAGCTGATCCAGACGCTGCTGCCTGCGTCCTCACTAGAACTATAGAAAGTAGATCAGACAGCTGATCCAGACGCTGCTGCCTGCGTCCTCACTAGAACTATAGAAAGTAGATCAGACAGCTGATCCAGATGCTGCTGCCTGCGTCCTCACTAGAACTATAGAAAGTAGATCAGACAGCTGATCCAGACGCTGCTGCCTGCGTCCTCACTAGAACTATAGAAAGTAGATCAGACAGCTGATCCAGACGCTGCTGCCTGCGTCCTCACTAGAACTATAGAAAGTAGATCAGACAGCTGATCCAGACGCTGCTGCCTGCGTCCTCACTAGAACTATAGAAAGTAGATCAGACAGCTGATCCAGACGCTGCTGCCTGCGTCCTCACTAGAACTATAGAAAGTAGATCAGACAGCTGATCCAGATGCTGCTGCCTGCGTCCTCACTAGAACTATAGAAAGTAGATCAGACAGCTGATCCAGACGCTGCTGCCTGCGTCCTCACTAGAACTATAGAAAGTAGATCAGACAGCTGATCCAGACGCTGCTGCCTGCGTCCTCACTAGAACTATAGAAAGTAGATCAGACAGCTGATCCAGACGCTGCTGCCTGCGTCCTCACTAGAACTATAGAAAGTAGATCAGACAGCTGATCCAGATGCTGCTGCCTGCGTCCTCACTAGAACTATAGAAAGTAGATCAGACAGCTGATCCAGACGCTGCTGCCTGCGTCCTCACTAGAACTATAGAAAGTAGATCAGACAGCTGATCCAGACGCTGCTGCCTGCGTCCTCACTAGAACTATAGAAAGTAGATCAGACAGCTGATCCAGATGCTGCTGCCTGCGTCCTCACTAGAACTATAGAAAGTAGATCAGACAGCTGATCCAGACGCTGCTGCCTGCGTCCTCACTAGAACTATAGAAAGTAGATCAGACAGCTGATCCAGATGCTGCTGCCTGCGTCCTCACTAGAACTATAGAAAGTAGATCAGACAGCTGATCCAGACGCTGCTGCCTGCGTCCTCACTAGAACTATAGAAAGTAGATCAGACAGCTGATCCAGATGCTGCTGCCTGCGTCCTCACTAGAACTATAGAAAGTAGATCACATCAGCCCGGTTCTGAAGTTCTTCCTCTGGCTCCCTGTTGCTCAGAAAATAGACCCTCTTTAAATCCTGCTTTTAGTCTAGAAATCACCGCATATATCAGTACCTCAATCTATAACAGATCTATTGTCAGTGGATCTATCTTGCAGACCACTCAGGTCTTCCTTTTCCAGTCTAGTCTCCCATGTGTGGAGACCTTAGTCCCCCATGTGGCTGACTAGGGTTCCAGTCCGGCCTTTGGTCCATGTCTCCTCCCCTTTCCTTTCAGCCCCCTTTACAATCAATGAGTCACTAGTGTTGGAACAACCTAAAATAAAGGGTGTGAATCTCATCATCTCATCTGATTTAGGTCTTGCCAAAGCGCTGTACTCCTACCAGGCTCAAAGTGCAGAAGAGCTTTCCTTCCAGGAGGGGGCGCTGATTCGTCTCATCCGCCGTACACATGGAGAGGTGTGTATTTTCTGTATCGTGTTGTTGGTTAGGGTTAGGGTTAGTCCTAACCCTGTACCTAACATTATCTATGGTATAAATCGCTTTAAACCGATCAGCAGATGGGTTTTCTAGGTAGCGTATGGCTCTAGGATCGTATTAAACCTCTGATCACGCTGCAAACAGGCTTTGGGGGAACGTTCTGCTCTAACTGGAGGGGCTTTTATTGTAATCAGTTACATCAGATAACAGGATTATAAAGGACAGAACGATCCAGCAGGCATTAGCCTGATGTGTTTAGCTTCAGCTCGGCAGCCATCAGACGTAGAAAAGCTGCTCAGACATACAGACACTCTCAATATGGTGGATTTTTGTTTTTTTAGATAGATGATGGATTTTGGGAGGGAGAACTAGATGGAAGAACCGGGGTATTCCCATCATTGTTGGTGGAGCCACTGCCTGATGAAGAGGAGGGGGATGAAGAGGAGGAGGTGCTGAGTATGAACCCTCCACATTTCTGACGGATTAATGTGTTTTTTTTAATAATCGTTTTCTCACAAAATATTAATTATTTTTCTACCCAGCCTCTCCATTCTGCACCATCTCCCTGCTCACCCCCCCTCCAAATCCCCCCAGCTCCTAGTGCTGGTTCTGCAAGCACTGCTTCACCCCCTGGTGGCGAAGAGGAGCAGCAGCAGTCTGCTGACGTAGAGGAGCCGCTCACAGCAGGTCAGAGATGCAGTCCTGAGTGTTTCCCTGTAACCTGTGATCCTCCTGATGCCATCATGCTTCTGCTGTTCCAACAGAGGCTGAAGCCAGAAGCCACACCCCCTCAGAGTTTCCCAGGGATCGAATTAGACCAGTACGTGTCACGTTGGTCCTACTTTACAGGGCGAGAAATGTTGTGTTCAGTGGACTCTGCTTGTGTTGTTTCAGTGCCGGGCCCCCCCTCCTCCACCCACCAGCTGTACTTAGATGGGAGACGTTAAACTTCACAGGAAGAAGCAGAGCTGCAGTGTTTGGCCTCCTTCATGTCCTCAGAGATGTTTTCCTGCCATGAGGCACCTCTGTTTTCAGATATGTTTCCACAATTCAGCTCATAAAGTATTAAGGACTTATCTGGACACCCTGAGGGAGCGGTTCATGGCTTTAGCATGGCATGTCTACATTTAAAGGAAAAGTCCGGTCATATCCAGAATTCAAACTTCTGAAAGTACTTTAAATTTGAAATTCTTCCATCCTGTTCAATAAATGATCAGTGTTTTTAATTCAGAGTAATTTTCATGTGAATGTGCTTTACTGGAGGCATCCATGTTTGTCAAAGAACACTACTGCCACCTACTGGTTTGTGACGTCACGGTGCGGTATCGGCTGTTGATCAAGTCCCAGTGCTGTATCTGGTGTTTGTCACAACGCGCTATTATCAAAGTCATCTTGAAAACATTCTTCTTCCAAATGTTGGCTACATATTACGGGTTTTTTCTCTGGCCAGAAGTTCGATGGCAAATCCTCCCTCCTCAAGTTGGCAATCCAACGACCAACCCGTCCGTGGAGGATCAGGAATCAGAAAGGTGGAATAACTCTTTTTTTTCACTTTTACCCGATGTATTCCAACGTCATGGTCAGTTTCACTATAGCTCTGGTGAATTTCAATGGTGAAGTCCTCTGGAAATCTTCAATAATTGTTGTTGATTGCAGATGTGTCTAGTAGTTCCCATTGATTTAGCTTTTAAAGCGGGGAGAATGGCGCTAGGCTTACCGCACTGTGACATCACTGCCGGAAGATGGCAGGAGGGAGGGTTTACTATATTTGGGCAAAAATGGCCGCTCGCAGACTCGGTGATCCCCACGAAAATAATTGTTATTTTTTTAATGATTAAAGCTTAATTCAGGGATTAAAGTTTTCCGGGCCCAGGCCAGATTTCCGGCTTGTAGCGATTGCCTGTGGGTAAAAAAAACAACATAAAAAAATAAATTGACAGAGAATAAATTAAAGAAAGACTATCAGAATCCCTCTTGCGTTTGTCAGCCAATGGTAGCAAAGGAGCGCTCTGAAACTCACAGTAATCAGAACAAGAAGGTGGAGGGTCTTAAGAAAGCGTGTACTTCCTCCTCTGGTTTCATGCTCCAGTCGCCAGATAGATTGTGGTTCAGTACTGAAGTTCTAAACGAAGATTCGCTTTGTGCCATTTATGGCTTAATTCAAAGGAGAAACGTGTTAAAAGTCAGTAAAATGGCGAATACGTCCTTCTTGAAAATGAATGAGCATAGAGCCTCTTCCTGCTCACGTTTCAATGAAAACCCCAAGTCTAATCCTTCCAAAACTGAATCCAAAGCTGGGTCAAAATCCTCCATCAGAGCCAGCGGTCCTTCACACCCTGCTATGCTGAGAGAGGGGCTGCGGTTAGCCCTGGCTGCCGTTAGCCTCAGAGCTCTGCTGGTTGCCACGGTCCTCTCAGCTTCAGAAATTGTTTTTTTAATTACGCATTAAATCGGTAAATGGACCATATAGTGACACTTTAAAGCATGGGTGTAGGTTTGCATAGGGACCATAGGGACATGTCCCTACCAAAATTTTGAACCGACCTAATTGTCCCTACCAATAATTGGATGTGAGCAACATGTTTATAATTTACAGCAGTAGTTGTTGCAGCAGTGGCTTCTTTTCCTCTCGCAGCTCCTCTGCCTGGTCTCTCCTGTCTCTTCACGTAGCAGCGCATGGAACTGTGCTGCGCTGTTTAACTCCACTCTCATTGGTTGTTCTGCCTTAAGTTCCGCCTTCTCTCTCTCTCTGATTGGCTGTTACCTAGTCCGCGTGTGCTTGGAGCACAAAATTGAAAATGAAAATTGAAAATTCACACTAGAATGCCGTGGTTACTACAATTAATATTAGGCTACAAAACTAGTCCCAATAAAAAAATGAATATCATGTACACTAAAAAACAAAAACCTTTTTTTTCTTTTTTAAAACGATATATTCTGAGTCAGCCAGGAGTTCTGAAGACTGCTGGAAAAATGGGCAAATAAAGGCTGTAAGCCATCAACATTTCTGATTCTTAGCCACAGCCAATTAAAAATGTGAGGGTTTCCTTTTTTTTGAAGCAGCTGCCCTTCAGTGCTTCAGGTGATCTCTAAATAAACCAGGTGAAACTAAAATATTTCCTCTTGAGGAGTTCTGGATGGAGAATATTGGCAGACAAAAACATTTTTTTAAATTTTATATTATATATATATATATATATATATATATATATATATATATATATATATATATATATATATATATATATATATATATATATATATATATATATATATATATATATATATATATATATATATATAGTATTTTTACATTTATATTACTGTATGTTTTAAAGTCTCTATACACAGTTAATGATGAATCACTATAAATTAGTTGACGATTATTGAAATAATCAATTAATACGATTCATTTTTTCAGTCCCAGATAAAATACATGAAATGAGTAACTACAGCCCAGATATTCAGCTTTTATAGTGAAGTTAATATTTTAATGAATGTATTATTTTGCTTGATACAAAGCAAGCATTCTAGGTAAAAATATAAGAGTGGGGTTTAACTCTGCACAATTCTATATCTTCAGAAGAAAATACTGTATTTACCTTCTCTCTTAGTCGTTCAAATGAAACCATTTTCAAAGTGGAAAACAGTCCTAATTCCACATTCATCAGAGCCGGTGATACTTCAAACATTGATAAACAGCATCTAATGAGTGTAGTGCTTATACATTTTTATTAATGTAGCAAAATGATGCTTTTCTCTTTAAACAATGAATTCCTCTTATCAGTATGGATGCTCACATCGAGCATAAAAAAGGGCATGCATATTGCATAGCACCAATGACACCAGACCAATAGTGTCCCTACCAAAGTTCAAATCAAACCTACGCCCTTGCTTTAAAGTATAATATTCTCGCCTCTAATTATCTTAAAATGTACTTTTATTGAACAGCAACAGATAAGAGAACTTTTAACTTTCAATGGAGCGCTCCATTTAAAGCTGCTGCTGCCGCAGTGCATGCTACCTTTGTCCTTCCTCCATTGTCTTGCAGCTTTGCCATCAAACCCCGCCCGCTTTGTAAACAGACATTCAATACACATCTCTGCGTTGTGATTGGCCCGCCAGATTTAGGGTCTGGGGCATTCATCGAGGCTAGACCACTCGCAGGCAAAAATTATTTTGTGGGGCTAGTTTAGTAGGCTATAGAATCTATATGAAGGTCTGAAAAATAAATGGCGCTGGGCATGTCTGGAGGAGACAGGGTGAGATGGCGAGCCATTCAGCAGCTAGTGCAGGAAGGTAGGTCAACCAGGCCCTTGCTTCTGCGCGCTGTGCTCCCGGAGCACTTATTTACGCAAACAGCGGCAAAAAGGTGCTACGCAGACACGAGGTCATCAAGCTGCTGTTCGTGCGGCCGTGCACACTACACATTTACCGGGATCTACGGCAACAGCTGGTGTAGCAGTGTCAATTACTGACTGTGTATGCGAGGTAAAAATAATTATGTGTGCTTTCCTTGACCAACACAATGCTTAGCAGCAAAACTGACATCAATAGAAATGCGGTACATGCAAGTGGTAGATGTAGATGCACTTCTGGCATGTTCTGGCTGTTTTTGGTATTGGATTCTCAAAAGCCAAATTTGCTCTTCAATAATTGACGCAATCTCTGATCCCATGACCCCACACCCTCCTGGCATGGCTTAAAAATACACACACACAGAAATTATATATATATATATACAGGTGCTGGTCATAAAATTAGAATATCATGAAAAAGTAGATTGATTTCAGTAATTCCATTTAAAAAGTGAAACTTGTATATTATATTCATACATTACATACAAACTCATATATTTCAGATGTTTATTTTGTTTAATTTTGATGATTACAAATGACAACAAATGAAAATCTCAAATTCATCATATCAGAAAATTAGAATATTGTGAAAAGGTTCAAAATTGATGGCCCCTGGTGCCACACTCTAATCAGCTAATTAACTCAAACCACCTGCAAAAGCCTTTAAATGGTCTTTCAGTCTAGTTCTATAGGCTACACAATCATGGGGAAGACTGCTGACTTGACAGTTGTCCAAAAGACGACCATCGACACCTTGCACAAGGAGGGCAAGACACAAAAGGTCCCAGAGTCTGGAGGAAAAGAAGAGAGGCACTTCATCCACGTTGCTTGAAGTCCAGTGTAAAGTTTCCACAGTCAGTGATGGTTTGGGGTGCCATGTCATCTGCTGGTGTTGGTCCATTGTGTTTTCTGAGGTCCAGGGTCAACGCAGCCACATACCAGGAAGTTTTAGAGCACTTCATGCTTCCTGCAGCTGACCAACTTTTTGGAGATGCAGATTTCATTTTCCAACAGGACTTGGCACCTGCACACAGTGCCAAAGCTACCAGTACCTGGTTGAAGGACCATGGTATCCCTGTTCTTAATTGGCCAGCAAACTCTCCTGACCTTAACCCCATAGAAAATCTATGGGGTATTGTGAAGAAGAAGATGCAATACACCAGACCCAACAATTCAGAAGAGCTAAAAGCCACTATTAGAGCAACCTGGGCTATCATAACACCTGAGCAGTGCCACAGACTGATCGACTCCATGCCACGCCGCATTGCTGCAGTAATACAGGCCAAAGGAGGCCCAACTAAATACTGAGTGCTGTACATGCTCATACTTTTCATGTTCATACTTTTCAGTTGGCCAACATTTCTATAAATCCTTTGTTTTTATTGGTCTTCAGTAATATTCTAATTTTCTGATATGATGAATTTGAGATTTTCATTTGTTGTCATTTGTAATCATCAAAATTAAACAAAATAAACATCTGAAATATATGAGTTTGTATGTAATGTATGAATATAATATACAAGTTTCACTTTTTAAATGGAATTACTGAAATCAATCTACTTTTTCATGATATTCTAATTTTATGACCAGCACCTGTATATATATATATATATATATATATATATATATATATATATATATATATATATATATATATATATATATATATATTATATATATATATATATATTATATATATATATAATATATATATGGGGTTTCTGCCTGTGTCGAAAAAGTTCAGGCTCAGATTTTTTTTTTTTTTTGCTTTAATCCCTGTAAATTCATGAAATCACTGCAAACTTATTAGTTTTAGGTATAAATTATTATCCATTTACCAGACTTTTCCTTTAAGACACCCAAAATAAATAT